AACATTGTGAAGCAATTATACTCCAATAAAATGTTAAAAAAATTTAAAAAATAAAAGAATTGACACTATGAAAATAAATAAATTAATAAATAAAATAAAATAAAGGCATCTAATTCTCACCCTTCTCACTTCTTTAATACATACATAAATAGGGGACAAGGGATAGCTCTTCTTTACAACAAAATTCCAATTAATTAATTCAGAAGGGAGAGAGTGATGTCAATGACATGGTTTAATGGTTTTCCATCCTCATCCCTCATAGAAGATCAACTTTGACAATGACCCACAGATCAGTGTACTTTTGTCAGAGACTGGGTGTCTAGCAGAAACATTCTAGCACGCTGTTGGAGCAAAAAATCCAAGAATAGTTGCATTGAATAGGGTAAGAAGAGCAGTTTCATTTTATGCATGTTACCCCTCCCCTCCAAGGCAACACAGCCCAGTGTCAAATTCTTCCACAGGGAAAGTGAGAGCATAGTGAGTGACTGTCTGGCTTCCCCAGCCCTGTGGGACACTCCCCAAAGAGGCCTACTTCTTTTTCACCCAACCCAGAACACTGAGGTGATTGTCATGACTGAGGGGTTGGGAGAAGCTTGGAGCACAGCAAGCAGGACTTGGAACTCATCATAGGGCTGCAGATTCTACTCACTGCATTGCAGACTCCATCAGGAAGCCCATTCATAAACCAGTTTGGATGCCTTGCCTGCAGACTCCTCCATCTGGCCCATAGGCATCCCCAGTGTTCCACATACCTCACCCACACTCATATGGCTAGCTCTCTGCATATGCCTGCATGGACTGTGAGTATGAGCCTTTGCAGATGGCTGGAAAGCACACACAGAAAGCCAACACAGCTCTGCAGCATTGGGAGAAGGCACGCAAACTTGAGCACTTGGCAGCACTTCTCCGAGGAGAACAAAAGAGAGGCTCTCAGCATTCAACCTGGCTTTGCAGGATCAAGAGAAGGCATACAATCTTAAGAATAACGCAAGGGGGCTTCCCTGGTGGCACAGTGGTTGAGAGTCTGCCTGCCGATGCAGGGGACACGGGTTCGTGCCCCGGTCCAGGAGGATCCCACATGCTGCGGAGCGGCTGGGCCCATGAGCCATGGCCGCTGGGCCTGTGCGTCCGGAGGCTGTGCTCTGCAACGGGAGAGGCCACAGCAGTGACAGGCCCGTGTACCGCAAAAATAAATAAATAAATAAAAAATAACGCAAGAGGGAGGAATAGGTGTGGAGTGGGTACATCCCATCCACAGAAAAGTTCTGAAAAAGCCTCAGAATCCCTGGTTGGGCTGACTTGTAAAGGTATTTCTCTCCTGAAGCCAGTGAGTAAAAACTGGAGGAGGTGATTCTTTCTTCAAATTCGAAGACAGCAATGCAAGACTTCAAGGAACACACACACACAAAAATAAAGAAAACATGGTACCATCAAAGGAATAGAATAATTTTCTAGTAATCATCCACAAATAAATTGGAGATCTATGAATTTTCTGATCAAGAATTCAAAACAACTGGTTTAAGGAAGCTCAATCAGCTATAAGAAAACACTGACCGTCCAATGAAATCAGGTAAACAATAATGAATAAAATGAGAATTTCAACAAAGAGAAATCATATAAAAGAACCAAACAGAAATTCTGGACCTGAAGAATACAGTGAAAGAAATTAAATATAGGCAATTGTGAGTGTCAACACCAGACTTGATCAAGCAGAAGAAAGAATCTCTGAACTTAAAGACAAGTCATTTGAAATAATCCATTCAGAGAAGAAAAAGAAGAATCAAAAGTAATGAAAAAGAGACTATGAAATTTATGGGATACCATCAAGAGATCTGATGTATGAATAATGGGGGTCCCATAAAGAAAAGAGAGAAAAAGTGGCAGAAAGATTATTTAAAGAAGTAATGGCTGAGAAGTTCCCAAATCTGGGGAGAGAATTGGACATGAAGATACATGACACTCAAAAATCCCTAAACAGGTTCAACTTCAAAGGTTTATATTGAGACACATTATTATTTTAAATTTTATTTTATTCAAGTATAGTTGATTACAATGTTATATTAATTTCTACAGAAAATGATTCAGATATATATATATATATATATATATATATATATATATATATATTCTTTTTCATGAGATTTTCCATTATGGTTTGTGACAGGATATTGAATATAGTTCTCTGTGCTATACAGTTGGACCTTGTTGTTTATCTATTCTCTGTATAATAGTTTGCAGCTGCTAATCCCAAACCCCTGATCCATCCCTCTCCCACCTCCCTCTCCCCCGTGGCAACTACAAGTCTGTTCTCTATGTCTGTGAGTCTGTTTCATAGATAAGTTCATTTGTGTCATACTTTAGATTCCACATATAAGTGATATCATATGGTATTTGTCTTTCTCCTTCTGACTTACTTCACTTAGTATGATAATCTCTAACCCCATCCATGTTGCTACAAATGGCATTATTTCATTCTATTTTATGTCTGAGTAGTATTCTATTGTATATATGTATGACATCTTCTTTATCCATTCATCTCTTGATGGACACTTAGATTTTTTTCATGTCTTGACTGTTGTGCATAGTGCTGCTATGAACATAGGGGCACATGTTCTTTTTGAATTATAGTTTTGTACAGATATATGCCCAGGAGTGGAATTGCTAAATAGTATGGCAACTATATTTTTAGTTTTTTGAGGAACCTCCATACTGTTTTCCACAGTGGCTGCACTAATTTACATTCCCACAAACAGTGTAGGAGGATTCCCTGTTCTTCGTACTCTCTCCAGCATTTGTTTTTTGTCTACTTTTCAATGATGGTCATTCTGACCAGTGTGATGTGGTACCTCATTGTAGTTTTGGTTTCCATTTCTCTAATAATTAGTGATGTTGAGCATCTTTTCATGTGCTCGTTGACCATCTGTATGTCTTCTTTGGAGAAATATCTGTTTAGGTCTTCTGCCCATTTTTGATTGGGTTATGTTTTCTGTTGAATTATATAAGCTGTTTGCATATTTTAGAAATTAAGCCCTTGTCGGTTGCATCATTTGCAAATATTTTCTCCCAGTCCATAGGTTGTCTTTTTATTTTGTTTCTGGTTTCTTTTGCTGTACAAAAACTTGTAAGTTTGATTAGGTCCTATTTGTTTGTTTTTGCTTTTATTTCTACTGTCTAGGGAGACGGACCTAAGAAAACATTGGTACGATTTATGTCAGAAAATGTTTTGCCCATGCTCTCTTCTAGGAATTTTATGGTAACATGTCTTATATTTAAGTCTTTAAGCCATTTTGAGTTTATTTTTGATACACAAAATATACTGAGAAAGTAGTCAAATCATGCCACTACAGAAAGTCATCAAATCACAAAAGAAGATAGCAAAAGAAGAACAAAGGAACTACAAAAAACTCAGAAAACAATAAGATGGTATTAGTAAGTCCTCACCTATAAATAATTACTTTAAATGTATGATCACTGAAATATTATTTAAAATAGCCAAATATGGAAACAACCTAAATGTCCACTGATAGATCAATGGATAAAGAAGTTCTTTTTGATTTAAGGTCATGGAGATATTTTCCTACACCCTCTACCCAATATCCCAACCCCATCCTGGATGATTTTGAAATAAATCTGAGACCTATCATGAAATCCATAAATATTTTAGTATATATCTCCAAAAAAATAAGGAATCTTAAAAAAGATAAATCCACAATACCATTATCAAGCCTAAAAGGTAAAAATAACTCATTAATATTATCAAGTAAAGCAGCAGCTTATTTCTGAGTAGAAATGATTAGGACTGAATGTGGTAATGGTCTTAAGAAAAGAACTAATGAGCTGTAGGAGTTCAGGGTAGGGGGGAGGGTAGTTTCCAGCATTAAAGAACAACTTATCCAGGGGAAAGGATTATGTTTAGGACATCTTAAAACTGTTTGTTTTCAGCTTTTCTCGGAAAAGTAGTTCTGAAATAGTACACAGGGGGCAGTCCCTCTTCTACATTGAATACTTGTGGATATTGTATTCTTTCCCTTAGTAAGCAGGAAATAACAGAGAGAGGGATTGAGTTAACAGCAAGGAAGTTGTACATTTACAATTTAGACAAATTCTGAGCATTCAAAGCCAAATTCTAATAATTCCAATATGGAACTTATCTTCATATTCATCTTCCCAGTTGAAAATATTCTCTTTCCCCTGGTTTAAAATCTTACCTCTAGCCATTGAGGGTATCTTTAAGTTGCTTGCTTGAGACAAGGCTGTCTGTAATCATTTATTACCAAAATATACCAAACATTTTCCCATGCCTTCCAGTCTCTCTTTAGTGTTTCCGAAAGATTTATTCAGTTCAGGTCTAGCACTAAAATTTAATATCTAAAGATAGGTGAGAGGATGTTTTTCTTTATATAATTTTCACCTTTTAGGAAGTCAGAATGCATGAGGTTAGAAAGCAAAATTTTAAAAAAACAACTAAAAAACCTATTCCAGTAAATAATGATAATATTGGATTTTAACCTATAGATAAAAAATTCATGAATCCATATTGATATAAATAATCAAGTAAGTAAATAAATGGGGTAGAAGGGAGAGCTCCTCCTTGCAGCAGAATCCCAATAAATAAACATAAAAGGAATGATATAAATAGAAAATCACCTTTAGGTGATCACCATAATAATACTTTTTGCAAAGAAAACCATTGATAGATGTTAAAATTGTTGAGTGACATATAATGAAAAATAGAATATTTGCAGAGTCTCAAAGTATCTCACTGTATATTACTTAATTACAAAGGGAAAAAGAATAACTTTACAGTGGGGAACCATGGCAGGATTCTGGTTAACCAAGGTTAGCATCATCAATAATAAAATATACTAGCATCATAAACTCTCAACATGATGTTCCTAGAAAAGACAAACAACATTTCTACGGTATTCTTATTCAAAATACATAACTTTAAAGAGAGATAGTTTTCAACATACTGACCAATACATCTCAAAATTGTCAAGGTTATGAAAGACAAGGAAATACTGAGGAACTATCACAGATTGGAGGAGACCAAGGGCACATGACAGCTAAATGCAACATGAAATCCTGGATTGGATCCTGAAATAGCAAAAGGAGAGCAGTGAGAAAACTGGGAAATCCGAATAAGGTCTGTATATTAAATGCATCAATTGTGCCAATATTAGTTTTCTGGTTTTGATAATTGTATCATAGTTATGTAAGACATTAACATTGGGAAAAACTCAATGGGAAGTTTTTGTGCTATTTTTGCAACTTTTCTTTAAATCTAAAATTGTTTCAAAATAAAAAGTTAAATATTAAGGGGAAAAAAACCCTCTTCCAACAGTACACACATATATCCTGGCTTGGGTGAATCTGTTTACAAACATCTCACCCTTTGGATGGCTTGGCTGGGCTGGGCCATATTAGAACAGAGGAAATTTTTTTTTTTTAATTAACATCTTTATTGGAGTATAATTGCTTTACAATGTTGTGTTAGTTTCTGCTGTATAACAAAGTGAATCAGCTATATGTATACATATATCTGCACATGCCCTCCCTCTTATGTCTCCCTCCCACCCTCCTTATCCCAGCCCTCTAGGTGGTCACAAAGCACTGAGCTGATCTCCCTGTGCCATGCAGCTGCTTCCCACTAGCTATCTATTTTACATTTCGTAGTGTATATGTGTCAATGCCACTCTCTCACTTCTTCCCAGCTTACCCTTCCCCCTCCCTGTGTCCTCAAGTCCTTTCTCTACATCTGCATCTTTATTCCTGTCCTGCCCCTAGGTTCTTCAGAACCTTTTTTTTAGGTTCTATACATATGTGTTAGCATATGGTATTTTTTTTGCTCTTTCTTACCTCACTCTGTACGACAGACTCTAGGTCCACCCACCTCACTACAAATAACTCAATTTCATTTCTTTTTATGGCTGAGTAATATTCCATTGTATATATGTGCCACATCTTCTTTATCCCTTCATCTGTTGATGGACACTTAGGTTGCTTCCATGTCCTGGCTATTGTAAATAGTGCTGCAATGAACATTGTGGTACATGACTCTTTTTGAATTATGGTTTTCTCAGGGTATATGCCCAGTAGTGGGATTGCTGGGTCATATGGTAAATCTATTTTTAGTTTTTTGAGGAACCTCCATACTGTTCTCCATAGTGGCTGTATCAATTTACATTCCCACCAAGAGTGCAAGAGGGTTCCCTTTTCTCCACATCCTCTCCAGCATTTATTGTTTGTAGATTTTTTTGATGATGGCCATACTGGCTGGTGTGAGGTGATACCTCATTGCAGTTTTGATTTGCATTTCTCTAATGATTAGTGATGTTGAGCATCCTTTCAAGTGTTTGTTGGCAGTCTGTATATCTTCTTTGGAGAAATGTCTATTTAGATCTTCTGCCCATTGTTGGACTGGGTTGTTTGGTTTTTTGATATTGAACTGCATGAGCTGTGTATTTTGGAGATTAATCCTTTGTCAGTTGCTTCATCGGCAAATATTTTCTCCCATTCTGAGGGTTGTCTTTTGGTCTTGTTTATGGTTTCCTTTGCTGTGCAAAAGCTGTTAAGTTTCATTAGGTCCCATTTGTTTATTTTTGTTTTTATTTCCATTTCTCTAGGAGGTGGGTCAAAAAATATCTTGCTGTGATTTATGTCATAGAGTAGAACAGAGGAAATTTGCTCTACAGAGCAAGGCATTTTCTTGGAGATCTCTAACTCACTAAGTGCTGTGAAGCCCTCAGAACAAGCAACAGAATAGTAAATGTTGGGAAATATTTCTTTTATGCTCCACACAGGGTTTAGAGCACCTCTGGGAGTAGTTTTTGTTTTTTCTCAAATAGTTGGAGACATAAGGAGCCATTCTTAGACATGACTGTGGACTAGAGGCAGCCTTCTAGGCCATAGGCAGACTTCTCTTTCTGGTCCCTGACTTTTGTTTTCTTTTTTCTTTTTTTAAAATTTTTATTGGAGTATAGTTGATTTACAATGTTGTGTTAGTTTCAGGTATACAGCAGAGTGAATCATTTATACATATACATATGTCCACTCTTTTTTTTCTTTTTAAGATTCCTTCCCCGTATAGGCCATTACAGAGTATTGAATAGAGTTCTCTGTGCTGTACAGCAGCTTCTTATTAGTTATCTGTCTTAACCTTGAGCATCTTGATCATCCCTTGCTCTTCTCTCCATCCTACTCTTAATTCACTCCCTAGACACTAACCTCTGAAGTAAAAGTAAAGCAAGCACAAGTCAGAAAAAGATCTCATAAAACACGCACACATGAGTGTACGCATGTGTGTCTGTAGTTTAGGCAGTTCTAATGCCATCAATATCCAAACTTCTACTTCTCCATCCACAGGGGAGCAGCAAAACTGCAGTCATGTAAGTTTGTACCTGCTGCTGTTAGTGTCTCCCTTTCTGCCCCTTTTCTCTTTAAATGGCATACCACTCATCTGCCATTTCCATTTTACACAACTAGCTCTTCCCTGCTTTGCTTTCACATCCATTGCTAAAGAAGAAAGAGATCCAATAGCTTAATTATATTGACAGAATATCTGTCACACTAATATAATGTTCCTTTCCTTTCATGGACAGCCTGAATATTTTAAGGGCTTGGGAAATTACACTTCAGGCCAAAAATGATGCTAAGCCTTACACTGACGCCCATGAGCAGGAAATGCTCCTGGCCCCACCAATCTTGAGGTAGGGGCAGGACTTCCAGGTCGACTGCCTTGGAATGAGACCTCTGACTTAGAAAGTTCATGAGGAAGTCTCCCAACCAAGCTCCGTGCCACCCTGAACCCTCACAGCCATGGTGCAGTCTGGGAGACAATTTGATCTGCCTCTGTGGACTGTCCAATCTAGATGTGTGAATCATCCAAAGAAAGCCCTATATACTCATCCCCAAGTGCTCTCAGCCTTGTTCACTAGTGCTGTCTCTGGGGATGGCATATGTGGAAACAATACCAGGAGATCCCCCTATCTTACTAATTGATAAAAAGAGATTTGAGAACAAAGACTGAGATTGCTATGACTACAGATTTTTTAATAGTTCAATCTTTATCATGTGTTTCTGACCTCCCTACTCTTCTTCCCCCTACCACTGCTGTTACAATAGTATGGTTAATCTACAGTCCTTATTAGAATTTCACCAGTTATCCCATTACTGTCCTTTTCCTATTCCAGAATCCAATCCAAGATCCACATTGGATGTAGTTATGTCTCCTTGGCCTCCTCCAATCTCCAAATACATTTGGGTGCTTTCTCTCCTTCGACCCCAGCAAGATTGTAATTTACAAAGCTAAGTTTCATTGACTCTTAGCGCGGCACAGACCAGTGGAGTCTATACAACAAGCTGCCATGCTGCAGGTGAACATGGAGCTGTCATGCTGGACTGCTTTGCTTCTCACACATGTCCACTTTGCCTAATAGGAGAGCTCTGAAATCAAGGAGGTCTGGGGACTTAGACCAACATTTCAAGCTATAAGCACAAGGTAGTTTTGAAGTCTCATGATTAATCTTTAAAGTTTTCAGGGATTTTATATTTTACTCAAAATTCTGCATATTTATTTTTAATTCAGAAAGAATTCTTCCTTAAATTTTATAACAAAATTAACATGCCAGGAAGTTGTACCATGTTTATTCCCTGACTTGAAATGTTCATTGTTAATCCCTGCATACTTCAGTCTGAGAAGCTCAAACAGTGTCATTTTACCATTTCAAAAGTATGACTGGATTACACAAACCATCACAACTAAATGCTGGTGTCCAGCCACCACCTACAACACTGTCCCTATAGGCGAATGCCTTCCAAGTTGCAAACAACTGACTTACAAATTTTGGCTCACAATCTACTTATAAGTTGGGAACTGTTTGTCCTAATACAATATCCCCTTGCCACAGGGTATGTCATCACAACAAATCGTTCTTTTAATTTCTGGAAAACGCACCACTTCTTCAAGTTATATGTTGATTTTTTTTTTTTCCTCTACATATCAAATGGCCTTCAAGCAGAGTTTCCCAGTATGACTATCTAGTTGGGAAAACAATCTGACAACAACAAAAAGAAGATACATGAAAGAGCAAGATTGAACAGATCTCATTTATAAGCAAGGGCCTTTGATTCTGTACTCTGTCCTTCAGCTTCAGAATTCAATGTTCCTACTCAATTTTCTGCTGTTCAAATGATGCAGTCATTTCGTTGCTTGGATTTAGATGGTAGGCTCCAGCTCTGAAGGCAACAAAGTTGGTGAAAATCTCACAGGAAGCCAAGCTCTTCTTTGTCTTTTGTCAAGGCCCTTTGTAGTTTCAAAATGATCAGAAGCGAGTGCAGGTGAAAAGCAAACACTGCGGTGAGTGAAGCAAAGGGCAAGCCCTGGAAATTTTATTCTCCTTGTAAGACACGTTTTACTGAACGGAGAGTTGGTGGGGGTGGGGGGGCGGTGTTGTACCCTTGAGGTCACTGGAGTTGAATTTTGAACTTCCCAGACCCATTTTAGAATTGGGTCAGTGCTGTTATTGCTTCTTGGCTATGGGAAACTTCTGTCAGAGGGGATATCTTTTCTTCCCCTTAAATGATTTTTTCCTTCTAATCCTGCTTCCCCTCCTTCAGGTATGCTTGAGGAGAGTGACATCATCTGTGTGGCAGTGCTTTCCGGGCTCCTTACAGATGGAGGTAATTGCAGATGGAAAACCTACCACAGGAGGAGACTACCGGTAACCATGAGAATTTAAAAGCTGGCATGTGTAGATCATGATGCTCTCTGAAAATCTGACTTCCTGAGTCACTTTCAGTTCTTTCAAGATGGAATGTTCTGTCTTTTCACTTATGATTTGGGATAATTGAATGCCTTAAGGGAGCCTTGAGACGTATTGTACTGAAAGAGCCTCTCCTGTGTGCATGACTCATGCCAAAATAGAAGTAGATTACACTTCATGTCACTGGCATCAAATTCCTAGCCTCTGAGAGTTTGTCTTTTATATTAGGGGTCTGCAAGCTACAGCCCTCCAGCCACATCTGGCCCATGGCCTTGTGCGTTTTTTTGTTGTTATTCGGCCTACCAGTTAAGAATTTTTTTTAATACTTTTAAATGGTTGAGGAAAAACAGAAGAAGAAAAGTATTTTGTGACACATGAAACTTACTTGAGATTCAGATTTAAGTGTACATGAATATAATTTTATTGGAAACACACCCATGCCCGTTCATTTATGTATGGCTTTCGGCTGCTTTCGTGTAACAGCTTCAGAGTTGAGTAGTTGCAATAGAAACCATGTGGCCTGCAAAACTTAAAATATTAACTATTTGGCCCCTTTTGGGAAAACTTTGTCAACCCTTGTTCCATATCCACTGAGAATTCGCTTTTGTCCAGTGATGTGCAGCAAGAAGGTGGGCATGTCTGGGGCAGTGGACGCACATAAGGGAGTGGGGGGCAGGCTGGGGAAGCATGAGGACCCTTAGAGGACACACTTGCCAGGCACCGGCTGTCTGTGGCTAAAGCTGCTCTTTGCTTTGCTCTAAAGAATTGTATGCATATTTTTAATAAAAGGAACAAAGATCCTAGTAAAAGTTGGATAAATTAGGATACAGAAAAGGAGAGGATAGCTGTCTCTGTACCATAGTCATGCATTTTTCTCTCTCTGACTCTTACTCTCTGCCTCACTATCTTTTGTGGTTCCTCTTGGAATGAGAATTGTAAGATGAGGGAGAGGAAGAGAGACAGAAAGAGAGAAAGAATTTTAGATGAAAGCAGAGGACTCAGGTAATTGAGCAGAAGACAAAGGAGCCATCAAGGTGAGAACGGTACAGATAAAGATTATGGAGTAGTGAGAAACTTGCAAAAAAGTTCTGAGGCATGAATGTGCCATCCTCTACTCCTGCTACAAATTAAGCTTTCTAAGAGGCCATAGAGACTTTATTAATTGACAGATTGACTGGGATAGAGATCAAGAAGATAAGGATGTAGAAAGAGGGTGGAAGTGAGACATGGCATCAAAAATTAATTTTGCTAGCTGTTTTGTGATAAAAAGCAGGGTTTTTTTAACTTGTTGCCATTGGACTCTAGATTCAAATAAAAGCTTGTACATGAGCCTACTATATAGATGAGATAAAGATGGACCAGCAGGGATTTAAGCTGGCCTGACCTCCAGCCACGCACACTCCTCTACCTCCATCAGGGATTTCATAGTGCGTGTGTGCGTGTGCTCTCTCTCTCCCAAGAATAATCACCACTTTCTCATTTGGGGGTGGGGGAGGGGTCATTCTGATGTTATGGGAGTCATTTTAAATCTAATTAACAGGAAGAGGGAGGACATAAACATGCGTTCGCCGTCTTTGTCCACACTGGACTTGTATAACTGCCATAAAGTGGTTTGCAGTTTGGTAATCACACAGATAAATTCACAGCTCACACATTTTTAAACTATGTTGTAATTCTCCCATGAAACCCAAAAACACTAAGGAAAGGGTTAGCTTATGATGCACATGAAGCAGACGTAGGTTTGTTTCATTTGGTGTCGGGCAACTTTTTAGGGCATCAGACACCTAGAAGAGGACCATTAATCCCTAATTTTAAAATAACAGCATTAGCAGCACAGGGACTACCAAGCCCTGGAGTGAACAGGACTCTTTGTAACCTTAATCCATGGCAGATTTAGACTTATGAAGGCATTTGCCATTTGTGTTGAACAAGTCAGTGTGAACAATTAAGGATCAATTTGTTGACAAATGTGCCAACATAACAATTGGTCTTCCTTTTAAGAGTTTTCCATACTTTTTCATTCTGTGGCACACAGGTCAACTTGTTAGAAGACCAGAAGGCTTGGGTTTTTATGCACCCTCCTTGCCATTTACTTGTTCATACCACACAAACCAACCACGTTAGAAAACACACACAAATGTGCCAAGAACGCCTGCCTCTCTCTCCATCACATTTGTAGCCACCTTTTCCTAATGGAGCATGGAATTCCATAACCTCAGGGAACATCGGGACTACTTCAAAACACTCCCAAATGTTCTAGAAAATGGATTTGGACCTCGCTTATTATTTTGCCTTGAGAAATGCATTACCAACATTTGTGCTCAAAGAGGTGGTTCTACTACCCTGAAACATTGCCTTGGAAATAAATGTACAGTGAGGAACAGACAGTTGAAGCCCTCTACCCTTCCAGCCTCACCTCTTCCCTGTGGTTAAAGGAAGCATTATACTTTCCATCAGCTCTACCCCAAAATCAACAGGAAGAAAAACGTTAAGCACAGAATATGAATTATCTACTATTTACATAAAGAAGACTCCCCTAAGGATCCCATTAACATTTAATGTATTTCAAAAGATAACCACGTGACTTCCGGGCAGGCAGCTATCTAAATCAACAGATGTTCAAGTTAACATAGGGAATCACAGCCTTATGCTGAACATAGGACCTCTGTAATTCAGCTCCAGTGTGGGCTAAAATCATGGAGTCCACAGAAAGCTCTCCTAAATAATTCAGTCAGTATGATCATTAATGACTTGTAGGGCTTATGGTCTCTGAATAACAGTTCTTTGTGAAAGGCAGAAGTTGGAGGGAAATGTTATTACTCTTGCATAGGTTGTTAAACTTGAACAAAAATATAAGAAGTAATATCAGCATGAAATGACTGTTTTTCTTGTGCAGAAACTCTTATCAAAATCAAAGGCTTGCTTTGGAGCAGTAATAAATCTGCTTCTGATTTGCTCCGCCCGGAGTTTGAACAGTTATCAGATGATTATGCCTCAGATTTTCAGGGCTCCATTTCCCTGTACCAAACAGCAAAGGGATATTTCATGCTCCACTACTTAACTGAGCATCCTGTTCCTATATGAAAGCTTAAGAAGGTCAGAGAAATTTAGAAAGATTAAATGCATTACGACTCTGGAAATAAATTGTTAGGGCAGAGAAATGCTTGAAAACCTCATGACTCTTTTGCAGTAATGTCTAGTTTAGAGGTTGTATGGGGTAGGAGAGTTGAGTGTTTGAGGAGGAAGAGTTGAATGTGGAGGAAGGAAGAAAGCCATAATGTACAGAGTTAAATGATGGTGGGTTATTACTTGACAGTATGTTTGAAATGGTTCCAAAGAATAGTAAATGAAAAGGCTAATGTGGGAAAGGTTTGACATTATTAGTGAACACGATGACTGATGGGAGGCTTCCTCCAGGAGGACCTGGACAATACACTGGCTTTAAAAGCAGACCTGAGAGTTGCACAGATGAAGGGAGCTCAAGCTTAAAGAGATCTTTACAATTTTCAGTAATAGCTAGGCAGAAAGACTCATAATCCACAGGACAATGGTATTTTTGCAGCCTGTAGGAGGACAGCAACTCACAGTGCTGTAGCAAGGTAGAAAATGCAGAAAGAGGCTAAGCAAAGTGCAGAAGGCAGCGAATTCAAATTCAAAGTAATCACAACTCCAATAGCTGTATGTTACTCTCTGGTAACGTCTCCGATAGTCAACTGATAGTCAAGTTTTTATGGAATATAAACCATAGACCCACTACAGAGCAAGGTGCTATGAGACAAAAGCCCAAGGGTTTAAGGTCTAGCTCAGAACACAGAGCCATTTAATGAACCAAAATGTATATAATAATATATCAGATTATGTGTATGTGATACTAATAACTTGAAGTTCAGAATAAATATAATAAAGTGTCAATTATTGCTATAGAGAGAAAATGGGCTGAGTTCACCAGGGAAGGCTTTAAGAGAAGTAATTTAGGAAAGATTTCTCAAGAATGGATGCAGTGGTTCAATACCCCCTCCTTTAATTTTGATTTTGAAACATAATGGTCTTCATTTCTGTTGCCCACATTGTAATAAAAGCCTGACCTAATGGTGTGACTCTAAGAATGGGAACTGCAGACAGAGTATAAGGATGTAAGCTTTGTGAGGCTGTGAGATAAATATTTCACTTGGATGCAATTTGCAATTTTTATGCATATAGCTTTCCTGAGAGTGTGATTAAATTTAGAAAATCTAGAAGAGAGATGGAGAGGTCTATTCTCAGAGAACAAAAAATTCTAAAATTCTCTTTGTACAGAAAGAATACTGCAGCTTCTTAACCCCTGAATGTCATACATTTTGAATATGTATGACAAAAAGATTAAACATTAATAATGTGCAATGAAAATTAATTTATTAAATGTATTTATTACCTCAAATTCTAGTTTTCTTAGTTTAACTGGTCATATTTAATAAAAAGAAAAAATTTTAATGACGAAAAATGGAACCCCTGATGGTAGTTTGCAAAAGATGGAAAGGAGATTATGATGATAACTTTGGTAATGTTCTAGAAATTATTTTTAATAGACTTGATTTTTTAAAGACTTTATTATCTTAGAACAGTTTTAAGTTCACACAAAATTGAGGAAAAGGTACAGAGATTTCCCATATGTCCTTGCCCTACACCTGCAGAGCCTCCCCACCATCAACATCCCCCACTGGAGCAGCACATTTGTTGCAACTGACGAACCTACATCAACACATCATAATTCCCCAAAGTCCATAGTTTACCTTAGGGTTGTCTTTTGGTGTTGCACATTCTATGGATTTGGACAAATGTATAATGACACATATCTATCATTATAGTACCATACAGAGTATTTTCCTGCCCTAAAAATCCTCTGTGCTTCACCTATTCACCCTCCTCTCCTCCAACCGCTGATAACCACTGATCTTTTTACTGCCTCCATTGTTTTCCCT